TATATATATATATATATATATATATATATAGGTTCATTTGAGACCAATGGGATTTTGTGAGACATGGTAACGCATCGTTGGCCACGCATTTCGCTGTCAATAGATTTGAATTTAGTACTTTATGTTTTACTAATGTATTGTATGTCGCATCGGTGTTGTTTTGATAAACAATTTTGGAAGTTTTAAAATATCTTTTGTTGCAATTTTTATGAGAATTAATATTTTTCAAGCATAATTATATTTTCAAACCTAACCGAATTTAAGGGACGTCATATTATGAAAAGTTTTTTGCTTTCCGAAATTTAGAGAACAGTATCAAAATGTTGTGGAAATGTTTGCTAAAGAGAACGAAGAAGACCATATTACTAGTTCCCTAAGTTATCAAATGGTAACTAATGGAAAATAAATAGTATCTAAGGTTTCATATTCATAGTAAAGTTTATTTTCGGACTTGTTTTTCACCTTCCATATATGACTTCAACATTCCGGATTCGGCCTTAGAATTTTAACTTTCTACTCCATAAAACTATATATTATCTTATCTTATCTTATCCCTATGCTAATAAAAGAATATGTTGATTCTCCTTCTGACATGTGTCATCTTATAAGGTCTCTTAATTAATGTAATGCCACATGTCAACCTATTGATTCTCCATTTCAAAATTTAAATTTTAAATTCTCTACTCTAATTACATTAAATTAAATAATATTAGAATAAAAATTAAAATAAAATTAATACAGATTTTAAGGTTATGTATTTATTTAAATTAATGATTATAAATTTATATAACTAAAAAATCTCTTAATTAGTAATTTATTTAAAATAATTGATTAATAATTTTGAGTTTTTACTATGAAAATTTAATTAATTTTGTAACCGTGGTTCCACAGGTTATGAACTAGTATCCCTATTCTAATAAATGAATAGTTTTAATCTCATTTTGCCAAGTGTCACCCTAATACAACTCCTCATTAATATTATGTCATGTGTCATGTAGATATATTAGGCAACTCATTTGAAAATTCAAATTTATATTTTCTAATTATATGTTAAATTTGAAGTTATAATAACTTTAAAATTTTGATATATCTCTTAATTAATAATTTATTTAAAATAACTTATTTAAAATAATTGATTAATAATTATAAATTTTTATTATAAAAGTTTAATTAATTTTATAACTGTGGTTACCACGGGTTATAAACTAGTATCTTATAAAAGAGTCCATTTCAAATCAATGTGGTTCAAGATAATCATTTTTCTTACACCATATTGATTTGAAACTCCAACAATTTTTCAACTTTCAAACAATTAATCTCTACCACTAATGAGTTTTTAATTTTATATTAACTTTCAACTAATTAGTCACTACAAATCAAGAGTTTTCTCATTTATGGTATTTAATTGTATTTATTATAATAGTTCACATATATAGATCATATTGCTAGAGGTTGTAGAATAATATGGAGAGAAAGATGATTAAGAACATACAAACCTCCATTTTGGAATGCATGTTTTTTAAAGATCGAGAAAGAGGTAATCATGATTTTCAAAGATGTTAATTTGTCCAAGCTAACACATTTATTAATATTTTTTATTATTGTTCATATAGTCTTCTATTATAAGATTTCTATTATAAGATTGTAAGTTCAACAAAGGTAATATATGTTGGCTCAAAAATTTTGTAGTCTATATTTTTATTTTTAACCATTATGTTCTATAATTTCTTCATGATTTCCATAAGTTATTATTAATTATATGTAATAGAATTTGTTAATGTTATCTACGAATTGTAATTGTTACCTAACAAATTCAAATACCAATAAATAATTGATAACATCGTTTTAACATTGTTTGTTATATAATGTGAGAAATAATTAGATATTGATGTTGTTGTATATTTAGAGGGAAAAAAAGAATTAGGTTGTATTTTTTTTTATATTAAAGCCTTCATTTCTCTTTATACGATGACAATCGCTATTAATATAAAAAATAATAAAATAATAAAAAATTTGAAAGCTAAAATACAAAAATCAAAATAGACCAAAATACAAATAACGACAATTTTAAAACCCACTAGACGACAAACAAAAAAAAATCAACAAACCACCGAGACAATTTTTGCAATTTGTTTGATTAAAACAAAGTTTTTAAAATATTTCAAGCAAATTAGATGTTATAAAAAGTGATAATGTATAATAATTATTATAAAAAACAAAGTTTAAATTGAATTTGGATTATATTAAATACTAAAAAAAAGACCAATAAATTTATTTTCTTTATTGCTTTCTAAATTAGTTTTACATATTTATAATAAAAAAAAATTTCTTTCGTAAATTAGGATTCTATATAAAGCGACCAAAAAATCTGGTTAAAAAAATAAATTCGAGCATATCTAAAAAAAATTGAAATTTTCACAATGATTATTTTAACTGTATAATTGTAAACATGTGCAACATCTGCGATTATGTCTAGTAAGGAAATAAAAGAAGCAAAAAATGTACCCACAAAATAATAATATCGTTAAGGATCGATTGCCATTTTTTTTTACTTCTCTAGTAACTAGTAAGTCCAAAATGTCGTTTCTAAGAGGTGGTGGGTGAAAACATTCGAAATGTCCTTCAAATATGGGTCTACTCAATGGTTCCGATAAACATTTCTTAATGAGTTGGACTTGAGTTGGGAACGACCCGTTCCAAAATTGTAGTTCAAATTGCCAAATGTCAATTAACATAAAAGTAACAAATTTTATGATTAGTTTAATCGATTTAATCGATATCCTATTTTATTCTAATATCAAAGTGCACGTGTTCAACATTAATTTGAAGTATTCAATTAGCTTACCTAGTCTTCTGTATACAGTTACATAGCTCCGTACATTTTGGGTTTTCTTTAATTTTCTCTTTCTGTTCTCCTGTATATATATCTTGTAATTCCATGTACTGATACACGATTGAAATCAATACAAAAGAGCAGCTTCTTCTCTTTATATTCCTTCCAAAAAAAATTTGTTAACCTAAAGCCCTTGATATACTTTGTAAGCCCATACGTATGAAACCCATTTCTACAATCGTGAAGACGTGAAACACGTTACATTTACAAACCTTGTGTAGAGACTGAGCAATTGTAAAGTTGTGATACTCGTTACAAACCTTGAGGCAGACTCATTATTGAAGAAACGATGAGAAGAATCGACTGAAAACTTCTTCGCCACAAGCAATTAATTTTAAGTAACAGGTATGTGTGGGGGCTTCTAGCTATCCGATTTTATTCGTATTTGTCAAATCCCAAATCCATGCATATGAAGTAACATATGAAGTCATTGATGAAATGCCTGAATAAAATCCCCTTTTGATAAAAGTATTTTCCAAGCTTTAAGAATGGAGTGGGCTTTTCAAGAAAATCGTTATGGAAAGAATTATATGGCTAGCGATACGATGAAGTATCTATATGGACCAAATAAGTGCAGGAAACAAATTAGTGTACAAGATTTGGGATGGTTGTAGTTGATATTTGACGCATAAGCGTACAAAGCACAAATGCACCAAAAGACCAAAAAAACAATCATAACCTGCATCACGTTGGGTTTTAGCTCTTAAAATAGCCTCTCTTTTTTTTTTTATCATTTCTTAGTCTTATGAGATTCCATAGATGGTTTTGCATTATGTTTTACGTACGACAGTTTCTTGATCAAATTTATGAAAGTGCTTCTTTGGTTATCCTTTAGGAATATCCAACAGTCTAGGTTTGATTTAGCATAGAATGGAATGGAATCAAGAATAGAATGGACTAAGGAACTTGTAATTGAATGATTGAATGATCTAAAGGTTTACAAAACAATCTACCATTTCAAGAAGGTAGTTTTCTAAAAAGAAATTTCTTTTTGAAATGTAGGAATGGTCAAGACAAGTAGTGATGATGCATCATCATCTAGCAGGAAGAGGTTCAAGAATTTTAACCATAATGGTGTGGCATCTTGGTCGGATGTTAACCATGATGTGCTTTTTCTAGTTATGATGAAACTGGGTGTTGTTGATTTTGTTGCATTCAGTGGAGTTTGCAAGTCATGGAGGTCACTTGCAGTCTCTAACAAGAACACATTTATGGCATCCAAACCACCCATGGAGATATCTATCTACATGGTTGCTAATGAGAATGACTATATCTACTGTTGCTGCCTACAGGACTTTGAAAGAAGAAGGTTCAAAACCATAATTCCCCATTATATTGGCAGGACCTGTGTTGGATTAACTTGTGGTTACCTGATCTTGTTTGGGACAAAAACCCGCGACTTCTGGCTTGTGAACCCAATCACAAGGCATCAACTTCATTTCCCTGATTACCCCATATATGCAGGTGTTGATGAAGTAAGTATTAGGGGTATCCTTGTCTTTTCACCTTCAATATCAGCTGGGTGGGTGTTTGTTGTGTTACATAGACAAATAACACCATATGGGACAGACAATGGAAAAATATTGTTTTATATATCGGGTAAACAAGGATGGACTCATGTCTTCTCCAGTCTCCCCATTCTTGATATACATGTTTTAAAGGGGAAGATATATACCCTACACACTGACTGATTCTTCTATATGTGAACTCAGACTCAATGTGAAGCAGAAGCACAAATGGACGATACTCAAGACCAAGAATTTTCCAAAGATAGACTTGTGGAAACCAAAGCTTGTAAGTTCGGGTGAAAAGCTTTATGTGATACTGGAAAAGATTCTAGAACTAGATTTTGGGGAAATGAAATGGGTGTTGCCAGAAAAGACAAGACAATAATACGAGAATATGCTTTTTTTATTTGCGGGTATTGTTATTCTTTTGCTATTAAACCGGAGTCATGGGTTTGCCCTCAGACACAATACAAGAGCTATGATTACTTTCTTCCCTCTGGTAAAATTCGACACTACAGCTTCAATCATCGGTGGATGTGGTACTTCCCCCATGATTGTTTGAATGTTAATCTCATAGATGATCAGTGATGACTTCTTATTCCTTGTTTTCATCATGGACTATAGAATTCCTATGTTTAGAACAACTATTGGTGTATCTTTGCAACTTACTATTTAAACAGTTTGGTTGTCATTCGCCCTTTTACTTAAGGTGGGCATGCACTCTTAATCTTATCTTTGTTTTTCTATTTTGGGCTTGATTGCTATGTAGTCTAAAGTCCAGGGACACTTTGTTCCATTTCTCGTGATTTCAGTCTATTAAGAATGAATCAATACACTAACAACATGTGTATGATGTCAATGATCAAGTTTTAAAAAATGGCCCATCTTAATCATAATAACACTTGGAAAACTGTAGTTGTCCTTCTCCCACATGCTAACAACTGTGTTGCTGTAAATGGGGTACTTACTATTAAAGTGCAAAGATTAGGGTAGAATTGAGAGTTAAAAGGCAAGACTATTGGAAACTCCATGATGATTAATAAGAGACATTTTCCCTAATTGGTTCAAAAAGTTTTGTTTGTACTAGGAACAAATAGCCAACTGTTTGGGAAAACAGTCTACATCAGTTTACATGATCCTATTCAAAAAGTTTTGTTTGTATTCGGAACAAATAGCCAACTGTCACACCATCATTTTCAAAAGTCTTGAACCTCTTCCTGCTAGATGATGATGATGCATCATCATTATTTTGGTTTCTTGTCATACTCATTGTCTTGGCCATTCCTATAGTTACAAAAGGAAATAAATACCACATAGTATACAATAGTTATAAGCATACTCGAATAATCGAATTTACAAAACGTTGCAAGAAAAAGAGAACTCGCACACAAGAATCAACGGACAGAATATTAGTTGTAAATATGTTTAGATTTCAGGAGCCCAGTAATTAAGTGGGTGAGATCCCAATGAACAAGGCATACATGAAATAATTGAAGCAAAACAGAATGAATCAATTAAGGGCAGAAACTCAATGGGCCATGTGAAGAAAAGGCATAGATACAAAGAAGTTTAAAAAAAATAATTAGGAACTGCTAAGCCAATTGATTTGAAAATTATTGTAAATCATAGGAGGTTTTCATGAACCTCTACAACATTGATAGGGGAAAGTGCAATACATAACACTGAACCAATTTCATGATTTCCTTCAAGTGGGACTTGATACTTGATAATTATCAAGTCATGTGAACCACAAATACTAACTTCTAACCACCCTAAAAGGTAAGAATGATGAAAAAAATTGCAACTTTACTGACTATAAAATGTAAATACCAGTTGATTATAACACATTGAATCAATTAAGGGCAGAAACTCAAATCAGATCAATTAGATCAGATCAAACCAAGCAAAATAATCAGATTAGAACAAAATGATCAAATTTGTAGGTTAAAATCCTTGACAACTTGTAGGCTGGAACTTTAAAGCAAATTAGGGTCAGAGGTTTTACCTAAGACACGATTGTCTTAGTTAGCGTATTGTGAAATGCAGTTGAGAACTTGAGACAATTGTGATTTGTGGATACAAGGGAAAGAGAGATTAGGGTCGAATTTGAATGGGGCTGACCTCTTTAGAAAATAGGAGTTTTATAGTTGTCTTAAACTTAATTAAGGTAGTATTTTTTTTCTGGGGAGTTTATTATTTTACTTTTAAAATGCGGATCATTATGTTATTCTATATTTTACAAATAATTTTAATGTTTTACAACCATTACCAAGGCTGTTTCCAGCTACTACCATATTTTTCCCCGACAACCATTTTATTCCGGCAACCATCATTTTTCCGATGAAAAACGCAAATAAAAGAAATAAGTTTAGGAAATCTAAAACACGTAACACTAAACAAAGATCAAACCAAAAGCAAATCTATCTTGAAAATGTTAAACCAAAACCTAATTATGAAATAGAGATGATTGATCGTTGTTGATATACGTCTCATTCTAGAAATTGATTGTGGAAAAGTTGCCTCCAAAATTAGCAAGTGACAAATAGTTCAGGGGTTATTTCAGTAACTTATCATTTA